TAAGAAAAGTTTCTGAAACAAATTGGCAGAACAATCAGCCGAAAGATTACTGTGGCAATGTTGTACAGTATGGTAAATAAAAACAGCTTCCAAAACAGCAGATTTTGTTATTTTGTCATTGTTGCTAAATTGGGTTATTTTTTTTGTGTTTTACTCTGCTTCGAAAGCAATTTGTGCTTATCTGAATTCTCGTGCCGTCTAACGTTGTAATCGCCACCATTTGCAATAGATAAAGTCTTTGAACACAGAGTACAAAAAATTAGTTCACTGTTGTGATTAACTTCTTGTAACCACGGATATATTGTAATCCACTTTGAATCAAATGATGTTTTCCGCTTCTTAACTTTCTTCTGCTTGTCACTTGCGAAATTTTCTAAAGAACGTGCTTCTGTAGAAGAGCTTAGCGAATCGTCATCACTCATTATTCTACAATAAAACAATTATATCCCAATATAATTCTACATACTTAACTTACACTGCGTAGTAGCACAACTTCCTATGAGTGCGACTTTTTGACAATAATTAGAGATGAGCCGAAACCAGCGATTAAAAGTGCTTACGAGTAAAAGCGTCGATATATTTAAGATATCGGTTCACCAATCACAAACACATTCAACCAAGGCGAATTCATACAAGCAACGAACGTAGATATTAAAAACACGTTATAACTGTAGCGAGTGTGGGTAACAATAAATCGCTTTCAATGAAGTTCTTCGGCAGCCAACTTATGACTCAACTAATTGCCTGTGAGAGTTAAATAATGTAAACACGCTTAAAGCGAAAGGTGAACAATTTCGGTTGAAAATGGGGGACCTACGCATCCTTCCGTAGCAAAGGGGGACAAAAAGTCAAAATGGGGTATGTCCCCGCCAATGGGAGACGTCTGGCAAACCTAGTCTAGGTATTGTAAGTTCAATGGTTAGAAACCGTGCTGAACTTAACAGTTTTAAAGCCACTGAGCCAAAAAGCTTAAAAGTATAAAAGCAAGCCAAAATCAGCTGTTTCCAGGAAAATTATTTGATCGATGATAAGCAAAATGTATGATAAATCGCGGAAGATGGGAAAATGCACTCTCACGCAAAACAACAATAATGCACCAAAAGAAACTATGTTAATGCGAGTTTTATTAATGAAATTCCTGTAACATTTTCTGTTAAAGGCATTGTATTTATAACGAAGGATGGAGTACGCGGCGTAGTGAGAAGACAGGCCTGATTTTTATAAAGTTTAAATGATTTAGTTTTCTGGTTTTTAAATGCTTTAGCTCTGAGTTAAACCACAACGAGTTGCGAGGTCCGGTATTTTCTTTAACAAGAGGAATTAGATTACTGAATATATTATTCAAGATTTTACTAAAGTGTAAGGCACTGTTCTCAATATCCCCATCGTACTCAGGCCAGATTATTTCAGATATTGCTATTTTAAGCTTGTCGTAGTTAGCGTATTTGAAAGAATATCGCCGACCTTTTGGCGTTCTAGTTTCAGGACAATAACACGAATCGTAGGATGGTACCAAGGACAACACAAATGGTGGGTGATAAGGGTCTACATGTATAACTAAAGGATCGCCACGTATTATAGTGCATTTAGCAGTATCATCAATAAACGCTAAATCAAGACATTTACCTAAGTTGTTGATAACTGAATTTATCTGATATAGACCAAGATCGGAAAGTTCGTTAAGAAATTGGTTAAGCATATCCCGAGAAGAATTTGGTACCAGAATTCCATCCACCAAATCCCAGGAAACATACGCTAGATTGAAATCACCCAACACAACAATCGAATCGGAGGGCTTGACCATGACAAATAAAGAGAGCAATACTGAAGAATGTTTAAAGTAAACAGAAGGGTTAGAGTTTGGTGGAATATAAATTGCAACAAGAAAAACACTACTTGAGGGGCACCGTATTCTAACACAGAGGAATTCAACATCATCTGAACCTGTGAATACAACTTTTTCAGAGGAAAAGTCGGTGTGAACAGCTATTAAAACACCCCCGCCTTTTCTATCTAAGCGATCACTTCTAAATATTTCATACTTACTACACAATATTTCACTATTAAACACATTCGGTTTTAGCGAAGTTTCAGTAAAAACCAAAATTTCATAATTTAAATCAAAAGACTTTAAGTACAGCTCGGTTAATTTTGTATTAAGACCTCTAACATTTTGGTAATAAATATTGAAGAAAAAATTACTTATAAGTTTTTTGATCCTGAGGAGGGAATTTGAACAGTATTTTAATTCCGAGCTCGATATTTAAACTCAAACTCTCGAACTACCTGACACCTGAGAAAGATTGAGATAACTCACACGGAGAATTAAAACTTATTAATTCCTTATTTGAGCCGGGAGTAGGCAAAGAATCAATTGGCGGAGTGTCACTGTCTAAAGCAATGGGATTAGGAACAATGCTGTCTCCTGAAATGCTGAAAAGGTAATAACCCTGGTTCGAAATAAAGTCAATTTACCTTATCCGTTGATCTTGTTAGCTATCACCCTAGAACACTGCCTTGAGGGACACCTGCATATATTGGGTGTCTTTCCGTTCTAAAGGAATTCTGCCTGACTGAAGTTTCTCCCCAGCAGAAAGCTTTCCAGAATTGCATGCGTATTTGCAGAGAGTAAAACATTTAGTTTGTGTATAAGGCCATCACGCCAGCCTTTGTAAAAAGCCTGAAAGATTTCCAGAAATACACCGGTGCAGTATTTCTTCCCTTCGAAGGCCTTTCTAATACAAGAAACAATTCTATCAACTTGTTCTACAGTGCTATGTTTTTCACGAAAGCCTAACTGATGTGGTGGTATTATTTGGTTACTTGTTAATGAAGGTTGTATTTTTTCAATATAATTTTTTTTTAATATTTTGGAAAATACAGAAATCAAGCTAATCGGCCGATATGAATTTACTACCGTCGGATCTTTGCCTGGCTTTGGCACCATAATTATTTCTGAAAGTTTCCATAAGACGGGTAAATGCCCCAACTTAAGCATGTTATTAAAAATATGTAACACAAAATGTACGGCAGTTTGTGAAAGCTCTTTTATCATTTCACCTGTAAACCAGTGTGTTAATTAAATCTTTCTTTTTAACCCGAAGCGGATTTGTGGTAAGGCTACTGGGGGGTATTGAAATATTGGAAGGATGAGAGCCTTCATTGGGTCTAAAGACTTGTGAAAGATGACAGGCGAAAGCGTTTACTTTATCTTCATCATTCCTCGACCAGTCTCTTCGAACGAGTCTCTTCGCATGCTTCAGTGTTCGCCTAAGGGAGTAGTCAGTCTGTTTCGAAGCAGACAAGGACTAAAGGATCGACTGGGTACTTCTTTCTTTTTCCGCCTGCAACAAAATACGTGATTCCTTTGTACACACATTAATGTATTAAGTTAAGAATGTTTGGGGTGTGTAGGCCAGGGCAGTAAGAACTGCGATGTTTAATAGGAGGATTTGGTGCGGAGATTTTGGTGCAATTTCTGCGGCCTTAACTATTATATCAGTGAGTTTTTCAGCTGCCCTGTCGATATCATTCTTGGTCAGAATAGGAATTTGCGGGTCAACCAGTTAACCAGTTTGTGTGCTTACTTATATGTGACCTGGTCTACGAAAAGGGAGCTTACGTGCGAAAACTAGTTTTCTGTGAAAAAGCTGTTAAAAGTAAGCAACTCGTTTCGTCAGTTTCTCATTATCTCGTTAATTGTTCTCCGCGCCGGACGTCCAGTAAGTGTTGTTGTTGGTCCAGTAAGTGTTGTTGTTGGTC